TTTTTGATGACTCTGCTGGTGGGGTTTCCATGGGCCATCCACCTAGCCCTGCCCCAGAAGTGGAAGGGATTGATGCACAACCACTTATGTGTGAGGATGTGGACATGCAAAGACCACCGCAGCACGTCTCTGATGACGAAACACAGGTGCCAACTGCTGTGGCTTTCGGCAGTGTGCAGACTGGCAAGGAGGGCAGGGTGGGTGGAAGATGATGTGGAGGATGATGAGGTCCTAGATCCCACATGGAATGAAGGTCATGCAAGTGACGTGTGCAGTTTGGAGGAAGAGGCGGTGGTCGCAGAGAGGCATCAGCACAGCATAAGAGGGAGCAGGGTGCAAAAGCGGTACACCTGCTACTGCCCACCACACCCAGGGACTGAGCACACCAAAGGCAGCTCCAAGGAGTTCCCTGGCGTGGCAGTTCTTCAGACAATATGTTAACAACAAGACACTAATGGTTTGCACGCTGTGCAATCAGAGCCTGAAGCGAGGCATAAACATGCTAAATCTGAGCACAACCTGCATGACCAGGCATCTACATGCAAAGCATGAGCTGCAGTGGAGTAAGCACCTCAAAAACCAAGAAAGGTCTCAGGCTCCTCCTGCTTCCTATTCTGCTGCTGTCTCAGCCTCTTCCTCCACCTCTGGAGTCACAGTGGCACCTGCCACCCTGCAAACAAAGGATGTGGCAGCAACGCCACCACGTCCGTCACCGTCCCCAAGCATCTTCGTACTGTCCCATGGAAGCGTTCAGCTGTCCAACTCCCAAACACTGGAGAGAAAGAGGAAGTACCCCACTAGCCACCCGCGATCCGTGGCCCTGAATGCCAGCATTTCAAAATTCATGGCCTTTGAAATGCTGTCATTCCGTCTGTTGGAGACGATCAGTTTTAAAAACCTGATGGCGGTTGCTGTCCCACAGTACGTGGTTTCCAGCCGCCACTACTTTTCCAGGTGAGCCGTTCTTTCCCTGCACAACCAATTGGTGGACAAAATCAGGTGTGCACTGCACAACTCCATCAGAAGCAAGGTCCACATAACCACAGATACGTGGACCAGTAAGCACGGGCAGGGACGCTATATCTCCCTAACTGCGCACTGGGCAAATGCAGTGGCAGATAGCAGTTTGGCGCATGTCCTTCTGCCACCGAGGATAGCAGGGCATTTCTCTTTGCCTCCTGTTGCCTCCTCCTACTCCGCTTTCTCCTTTTCTACCACCACCTCATCTGGGCAGCGTAACACCTTCACCACCAACTTCAGCACAACCAGGGGGAAACGACAGCAGGCTGTTTTAAATCTCATATGTTTGGGGGAAAAAACCCCACACCACGCAGGAGCTGTGGAAGGGCATGGAACAGACGAATGAGTGGTTGTTGCCACTGAGCCTGGTGGTGTGCGATAATGGGCAAGATCTCGTAGCAGCTCTGGGTCTAGCCGGTTTGACGCACATCCCTTGCCTGGCGCATGTGCGGAATTTGGTGGTGCAGAAATTCCTAAAAACTACTCAGATATATCAGAGCTGCTGCAGAAAGTGTGGGCTTTCGGCGTTCTCACCCTGCTGCCGCTCGTCTGTCTGTGCTGCAGCGTAACTTCGGCCTTCCCGCTCACTGACTCATATGTGGAACTCCACCTTGCACATGCTGGAGAGACTGTGCAAGCAGCAGCAGGCGAAAGTGAAGTTGCAGATGCAGCACACACAGGTCAGTCGCTATGATGAACAGCACCACTTCACCACCAATGAGTGGGCCTCCATGCAAGATCTGTGTGCCATTTTGCACTGTTTCGAGTACTCCACCAACATGGCCAGTGCCGATGACGCCGTTCTCAGCCTTACTATGCCGCTTCTATGTCTCCTTGAAAAAATGCTTTGGGCGATGATGGAAGAGGATGTGGCACAAGAGGAAGAGTTGGAGGAAGAGGGGTCATTTCCACGGTTATCAGGCCAGTCATTCACAAGTGGCTTGGAGGGTGGGTTCCTGCACCAGCATAGGCCAGGTTCACAATTGTCCAGCCAGGGCACAGTTCTGGAGGATGAGGAGGAGGATGATGAGGAGAAGGAACCATGTTCACAGCAGGGTGGCACCCAACGCAGTTCGTGGGCATCACTGGAGCGTGGCTGGGGGGATATGGAGGACACAGACGATACACCTCCCACAGAGGACAGCTTGTCCTTGCCCCTGGGCAGCCTGGCACACATGAGCGACTACATGCTGCAGTGCCTGCGCAACGACTGCCAAGTTGCCCACATTCTAACATGTGCTGATTACTGGGTTCCCGTTACAAGGACAATGTGCCGTCCTTAATTCCCTCACTGGAGCGTGATCGAAAGATGCACGACTACAAGTGTACGCTGGTAGACGCGCTGCTGAGGGTATTACCAACTGACAACGGGGGCTCAGTGGAAACACAAGGAGAAGGCAGAGGAGGAGGAAGTGGTCGCTAACGCAGCTGGGGCATCGCCAGCACCTCAGATGGCAGGGTTAGCATGGCCGAAATGTGGAAAAGCTTTGTCAGCACGCCAAAACAACCAGCACCACCATCTGATATGGAACGTCTTAGCAGGAGGCAGCATTTCAGCAACATGGTGGTACAGTACGTGTGCACAGGCCTACACGTACTGACTGATGGGTCTGCCCCATTCAACTTCTGGGTCTCCAAATTGGGCACATGGCCTGAGCTTGCCCTTTATGCCTTGGAGGTGTTGGCCTACCCTGCAGTCAGTGTATTGTCTAAATGTGTGTTTAGCATGGCAGGGGGCGTTATCACAGACAAGCGCAGCTGCCTGTCCACAGCCAATGTGGACAAGCTCACGTTTATTAAAATGAACCAGACATGGATCTCACCAGACTTGTCTGTACCTTGTGCAGAATAGACATTTATACCGGCCTCACCCAGCCATTGTTATACTCAAGTGCACTTATTCTTTGTTTTCTATTTTTATATGTCCCAAAAAAAAAAAAAAAATGTTTTTAAACAAACAAAAAACAGTGTTGGATACCTCCACCGCCGCTTCCACCTACACCTCCACGGTTTATACCCATATATATTAGAGCTGCTGCAGAAAGTGCGGGCCGTCTGTGTGTGCTTTAGGCATTCTCACCCTGCTGCTACTCGCCTGTCAGAGTAACTTCGGCCTTCCCGCTCACCGCCTCCTGAGACTGTGCGAGCAGCAGCAGGCGATAGTGGAGTTTCAGCTGCAGCACACACGGGTCAGTTGCTCTGCGGAACAGAATTTTCTTTTTTTTTTTATATGTCCCAATATGTTAGGGGCTACCCCAATTAAAAAAACCAAATACAAATAAACGGTGTTGGCTACCTCATCCTCCTCCTCCACCGCCGCTTCCACCTACACCGCCATGGTCACCGCCTCCTCAACCTATGGGTCACTTAGTATAAACTATGTACACAATAGCAGAGGCTTGTGAAGGCCTTTTCTCCATGCATCAGGAGTTGAGCATTTCTCCATGCATCAGCACTGCAAGAAATGCACTGCAGGCCGCAAATGTTCCTTTTTTTATATGTCCCAATATTTTCGGGGCTACCCCAATTAAAAAAAATAAAAAATTATATATATATATATATAAAAAAACAGTGTTGGCTACCTCCTCCTCCTCCACCGCTTCCACCTACACCGCCACGGTCACCGCCTCCTCAACCTATGGGTCACTTAGTATAAACTATGTACACAATAGCAAAGGTTTGTGAAGGCCTTTTCTCCATGCATCAGGAGTTGAGCTCAGTTTGAACAATGAAAGCGAATACCCTGCACTCCAACCCTCTCTCAAATAGTTAATTCTGGTGATCCTCATGACAACAATGCTTTAGATTTTGATTTATGTTCTTCCAAAGCTAAAATCAAAGATTCCATCTAGTGGTATTTTATGGCTCAGCTGTATTTTGAATTTTTAGGTATGTTATTTTAAGTGATTTCCCTATCCACATTTGTTTGCAGGGCACTTGTCCCACTCTTACCCCATTTTACTTCCTTTTGCAGCTCTCTAGCGCTTTCCAGGAGGTTTTTAGAGGCATTTTTGTGCCCAAAAGTTTGGGTCCAAATTGACTTCAATGGGATTCGGGGTCGAGTTCGTGGTCAAGTTCGAGCCCGAACCCGGATTTTGTTTCAAAGTTCGGCCTAACCTGCCGGACCCGAACATCCAGGTGTCTATTCAACTCTAATTAGTATGTCACAAGGAACTGTTTATAACTAACCATAGAATTATGTGAGGCAGGGCTCATCATATTCATAACTCACATTGGTTGCAATGGAATTGCAGAAAGTCTATCTCTTAAACATGCACAGATGTTTGTGAATGCTCTATTAATGGTTTGCATGCTATACTGATAAAGACTGTCAAATAGATATACGGCATATGATATCAGACTTCACAACAAAAGCAGTATTTTATCTGTCAAAACCATATTGTCCATACTTCACGTGAGTAAGACCAAATACACAAAGATCCAGGTTCTGTACAAAAAAAGCCATTCATTGCACTTGCCCTCAGGCCAATAGTGGCCAACCCTCCCCTGACTATAACCAGAGATATACAGTGGGATTAGAAAAAGCTTGAATAAACCAGGCAATGGAGAGAGTAAGTAGATTACAGAGTTTCACCTAAAATTATTGTCCTAAATAATGCATCTAGTGAAGAGAAGAAAATGCTTCCCTAAGCATGGGGAACCTGCCAATGAAACAATGATTTTGTTGCCAGTGCATGATCATCATTAGGGAGTGACACAGTGACAGAACTAATGTAGAGAGGGGCCTATTGCATGACATGTTTTGAGACTCCCTCCAGTGAAAGGATGGCCAAAAGGTAGATACTTACCTGTTGTGCAACTCCCACAATGTTTTGCTAGCTGGAGCGCTACCATTTTCCCATCCTTGCAGGTTTGCTGTTTGAATGCAGTGGTGGTTTGTATTAAGTTTTGGCATTCAAATGCAGTTGTGTGTAGTGTTGGCTTTTCAATGTAGATGAGCATTTGTGTGTAGTGTTGCCATTTGAATGCAGGTGTGTATTTGTGTTGGTATTTGAATGCTGGAATATATGAACATATACACATTCACTGCCACACACATACTGACATAGATACATAAAATACAGATTAGGGAAATATGCACACAGAAAATACAGTTAACATTTTACTAGGCTACTTAAAATCAGCCCAATAGATTCCAAATTTACACAGAAAAAAAGTGGAATTGGAGTCACACCCAGAACTTACATTTCTAAGTAGTGGCACTGCCATAAACACCAAAATAAATACAAAATAAAGATTAGAGAACACACACACACACAACAAAAATATAGTTAACATTTTATAAGGCTAATTAAGATCACCTATCTTAAACAAAAAAGGGGATTCAGTTACACCATATGGCCATATTTTGTTTTAAACCCACTATTATGTTACATAGTTACATAGTTAACTTGCAACCATCAAGTTCAGCCTTCCTCACATTTGTTTTTTTGCTGTTGATCCAAAAGAAGGCAAAAAAAAAACAAACAATTTGAAGCACCTCCAATTTTGCAACAAAACTAGGAAAAAAATCCTTCTTGACCCCAGACTGGTAGTCAGATTTATCATTGGATCAAGCAGCTATTACCCTCCATTGAAAAATTATATCCTTGAATATTCTGTTTTTGCAAGTATGCATCTAGTTACTGTTTGAACATCTGTATGGACTCTGATAAAACCACTTCTTCAGGCATAGAATTCCACATCCTTATTGTTATTACAATAGAAAAACCTTTTCTTTGCCTTAGACAAAATCTTCTTTCTTACAATCTATACGCATGACCTCGTGTCCTATGTAAAGCCCAGGTTGTGAATAGATTTCCACACAATGGTTTGTTTTGGCCCTGAATATATTTGTATAATGTTATGATATCCCCTCTCAGGTGATGTTTTTCTAAACTAAAGAGGTTTAAATTTGCTAACCTTTCTTCATAGCTGATATTTTCCATTCCTTTTTTTAATTCTGTATCCCGCCTCTGCACTTTTTCTAGTGCCATAAATATCTTTCTTTAGAACAGGAGCCCAACATTGCACAGCATATTCAAGGTGTGGTCTTACCAGTGCTTTATAAAGAGGCAAAATTATATTCTCATCCTGAGGATGAATGCCATTTTTCATGCATGACAATACCTCACTGGCCTTAGCCACTGCTGATTGACATTGCACATTGTTGCATAGTTTGTTGTCTATAACAATTCCAAAGTCCTTTTCGTGTGTTATCCTTAATTCGCTTCCATACGTAGCTTGTGTATTCTTTACGCCAAAGTGCATGACTTTGCATTTTTCAACACTATATTTCATCTGCCATTTGAGTGCCCAGTCCCCTAGTCTATCTAAATCCCTCTGCAGTAATATCTTATTTTACAGAGTTTTGTGTCATCTGCAAACTGAAACATGACTTTCAATGATTTTTTCAAGATCGTTTATAAATATGTTAAATAGAAGGGGTCCCAGAACAGAACCCTGAGGGACTTGCCATCACTTGCTACCTCTGTCCAGCTTGAAAATTTACCATTAATGACAACTCTTTGTACTCTATTTTTAAGCCAATGTTCTACCCAAGAACAAGCATTTTCATCTAGACCGATTTCTTTGATTTTGAACACAAATCTATTGTGTGGAGCTGTATCAAATGCCGTGGCAAAATCCAAATAGATCACATCCACTGCGACACCCTGATCTATACTTCTACCTACTTCTTCGTAGAATACAATCAAGTTAGTTTGACATGACCTGTGCTTCATAAAACCATGCTGATTTTTGCTGATAACCATGTTCTCTTCAAGTAATTCTTGATTATCCCTTAATAACCAAATAATTTTGATTTTCACAGTGAGAAGCACGCAAGCGCCTCTAGCAGCTGTCAATGAGACTGCCACTAGAGGAAATAGGGGAAGGCTTAACCCATTCATAAACATAGCAGTTTCTCTGAAACTATGTTTATGAAAAAATGGGTTAACCCTAGCTGGACCAGGCACCCAGACCACTCCATTAAGCTGAAGTGGTCTGGGTGCCTAGAGTGGTCCTTTAAGTGCATGCATATTATATAGAATATTTTCAAAGAGAAATAGGGCTTTCTTTTGATACCCTATATGTATACATAATGTAATATTAAATAGGAACAAGATATAAAAAAATGGGGGGTGGGAACTATTTTTTCTCAGATTTACATTTAATCATTTATACCCACCAAGTGCAAATAAAGAAAGGTAAATCAACATAGATTCACCAATTAGTCCTGATTGTAAAAAATGCCAAATATGTCTGGGATTTCAATTCATTTTTAGAAAATATAAAGCAAGTACTGCAAGAGCTGAATTATAGTTTTAAAGCTAAAACTTTGCAAATTTTTATAGTAAGAGAAAACTCCAAAACATATTGAAATGGAAGAAGTTGAGAACAAAGTTAATCCACTTCTGCAGGGGTCACAATGATACCACTAGTTTTTTGTTGTTGGTTTGTTAACCCGTCTCCTTTCTCTTTTTTCACCAACTTTAATTATTGTACATGAAAGTCAGCATTGAACACACTGCTGGGTCACACACCTAGTCTGTCCCAAACCTAATGAAGTGCACTTGTTCTTCAGACTTCATATGGTATAAAGTGGTCATTTAAAAAAAAATAAAAAAAAATAATAGAAATGAGTTTTTGCTTGGATGTCTTTTTATGAACTCTGTCCTTAAGATAATAGGTTCTGTCTGTAGAGAAGGAGTAGATGATTTTGGTTTATATCGCTGTGGAAAAGAGCTGTTCGATTCTCAGGAAGATGAGATTTTTTGCATATTAATAACAAGTGAACTCATCAGAGCGGGTCATCTTTGATCGATTCGTACATTGAATTGGACTGTATAATAAAAATCTCCGGTTTAATCCTGTAACCAATATTAAATCTGTAGTCTAGATTACATATGTACAGAAAAATGTTATTTAAACAGGAAGCTTTTCTTTTGTTTATTTTAATAAAATCTTTCTTTAAAAAAATAAAAAATTCTAATATCCAGGTGTTCACGTTTTTTACGTATGAATTTAAAAAAATAAAAAATAATAATCTGTTAAAAACACCATCAAACATTCAGAGACACATGGAACAAATGTTTTGTTATGAGAAGGTGAGGAAAATCACTTCCAAGGCTTATAAGTTGATTGATGCAATAAATTTTAAACCTATTAAAATAACAAATCCCTGGAATAACGAGCTAGGAACAAGGTTTTGTGCAACTGAATGGTGTGCGGTCTTAAGACAGCTATATAAAAACGTTAACTGTTTAAATTGAATCGAGTGCCAATTTAAGATCATGTATAAATGGTATCTCGTTCCATCAAAATTATCTAAAATGTATTCTAATTATATTTCAAATTGTTGGAGACGTGGAAATTCTGCAGGCACATATCTACATATGTGGTGGTCTTGTCCGTTAGTTAAAACAATATGGAAATAGCAATTTGTAAATTGGAGCCCAGAATCCGCACTATTACCTATGAATCTAGAAACACTTTCAAAAGAAAATCGATGTCTGGCAATTCATAGTCTTATTGCAACATATAATGTTGATTGCCAGACAATGGAAATCAAGTATAGCTTTCCAAAAAAATATGGAAAAGAAAAGTTTTAATTTAAATTCCCAACAACAAAATAAAAAAGATCCTTTTGATCGCTGGCTAGGCAAGATGTAAAGCTGATCAATTAAGAAATGATTCCTTGCAATAGAAAAGAAGTTAAGAACAGAAAATAGGAAAAGCTAATATCCTGGTCTGCATTGGTTATGTAATGTGTATGTCTTTGTCCTATTTGTCTTAATTTATTGTTTTTAGGCTATACTTTTAAATGTTCAATATTGATGTAACACATGAACTGTATGATCATGTGAACTAAATAATGTGAAGTATAAGCCTAAATTGTTATGTGATATAAGTGTATTTGTAATTTACTTGAAAACGTGAATAAAATAAATATTTGGGGGGGAAAAAAACAACACCTATTTGTTAACTTTTCATAATAGCCTAAATTTCCCATTTCTTTTATTAATTTTGTAGCCCACCTCTGCACTTTTTCTAGTGCCATAATATCCTTCTTTAGAACAGGTGCCCAAAATTGCACAGCGTATTCAAGATGTGGTCTTACCAGTGATTTATAAAGTATTCTATGGAATTCTCTGGCTGAAGAGCTGGTTTTGTCAGAGTCAATACAGATGTTTAAACTGCAATTGGATAAATACTTGCAAAAACATAACATAGAGGGATAAAATTTCTAATTAGTGGGGTAATAGCTGCTTGATCCAATGAGACATCTGACTGCTATTTTGGGGTCAAGAAGGAATTTTTTCCTAGTTTGTTGCAAAATTAGAAGCGCTTCAGACTAGGTTTTTTTTTGCCTTCTTTTGGATCAACAGCAAAAACATATGTGAGGAAGGCTGAACTTGATGGACGCAAGTCTCTTTTCAGCAATGTAACTATGTAAAGAGGCAAAATGATATTCACATCCCGAAAATTAATGCCCATTTTCATGCCAGTATGGAACTCCACCATTTCTGTCTCAATAACAGACATAATGGCGGGTAGTCAATCTACAAGATTTTGTATTGAGTCACAAGAGGTGGGAAGTACCTGGTCGAGCTTAAGGGCTTCAGGGATAGAGAGGACTGCTATCATGCATCAATACTGAGCTATGAGTAGGCATGCCCTTCTGTCTCCCATTTGGTGTATTTAACAAATTGCTTGGTTGAAGAAATATATCAATACAAACACTCAAATTAATAATATTTATTAGCTACAAATAAAGGATTAATTTCGCTTTATTCATAACACTGAAACTGGAAGGGTAGTTTTACTCTTCAAAAAATCTTGTACATGTATCGCTATAAATGATGTGACAGAAAACAGTAACTACTAAATAAAGTTTTGTCTAAAAGTGTTAACCCCTTAAGGACACAACTTCTGAAATAAAAGGGAATCATGATGGAATAATTCTGTCATGTGTCCTTAAGGGGTTAAACCTGTAATTAACATGTTCACTTTTATAAAGTTGGAACGTTTTGTTGCATATTAGACGCAGCATTATAATTCCTAAATTGCATTTAACTAAGGCCTCCATCAATAGGTATGCCAAAGAATGAGGTTATTCAACACTTGCAAAAAAAAAAAAAAAAAAAAACTCTCAACCTTTCTTTCCTGGTGCCAAATTCAATGATAAAGGTTCAGGCAG